TTTCCGCCTCGTTTCTTCCTCCCCCCCCCCCCTGCCTACATTGGGTAGCCACGTTTGCATGTTCGGATCGATGCGTGGAGTGGGTACGTCCCCCACGCCGCGGCCCGACCATGCAAACGAAGGCACTCCCTCTCCCCCATCTATCTACGTCCTTGTAATTCCGTGTTCTTCGTGCATGCATGCACGCTATAAATTCCGGCTACGCGATTAACTTGCTCTCTTAACAGTTGTTGGAAGCTCGGGGTTGCGCGATCGAGAGGGTCGGCACACGAGCGAAGTAAGAGGTGAGTGAAGTGGGAGTCGGGCGACCCGACGAGCTGGTGCCGAATGCGCGGGGTTGACGCGGGCCACGACGGACTATGGGCGCGGAGCGAACCTGACTGGTGCAGGAGGACTAAGCGGGGTGACGGCTTCGTGTGTTGGTGCGCGACGACGGACTGTCGGCATTAGAGAGAGAGAGAGAGAGGAGAGAGAGAGTTGAGATTGAGGATGGACATGGATTTGCGCTTTTCTTTTCGTTCCCTTTTTTATCTGTGTATATAAGTTTTGGTGTCAATCACGGGCAATTCGCCCTTGTCTTTGCGGCCATATGCTCGTCCTGTTGTCCGATTTGGTTTTGTTCTTCTTTTCATCGATGATTTCTCCTTTTTCTTTCCTTCCCTTGAATCCTCTTTTGCAAATAACGTATGGATGGTTCGCGCACCCTCGCCTTTCGTTTTTGATCGTTTCCTTCGAACCCTCGTACATGATGAGTGAAAATGGGGATTGCATGCTGGCGTGATCAATAGAGTGTGTTGGCTTGTTGTATCTTACAGATAGTCTGGAGCGCACCATCCGACGTGCCATAGGGACACATGCAAGTCCGATCCGGACGGAGCGCGGCTTACACGTGCCCCTACCATCGCCAATCACGTCTTAACTAATGCGCGTAGCCAGCCCTTCACTGAAGAAGGAGTCGATGTCAATCGGGATCGGGTTACCCATCGCGCGTAAGTGCGAGTAAGTGCCACTCGTTCGCATCTCTCTTACGCACTTACGAGCGGTGATCTCCCCGATTAACTTATCCCCCCCCCCAAAACGTGAGTGATGAAAGAATGACGAGCTCGCGGAGTTCCGACGTATCTTGGAATTCCGAGGATTACGAGTCGTATTTCGGGCACTGAGAAATCTGGGAAGAAGAACAACTCCGGTTACGGGAAAATTTGAGGAACCCGGTATTCCCCTGCCTCATAGAAAATGATAGATTCTGCGCCAGGGAATTCCATCTCGCCGTACGAAGCGACCCGCGGGGACCCGACTACCCAAACACGTACAACACGCAGTATTTCATAACTCCCGGCTTCGTCCTTGTCGCCACTAGTTTCCCGCCATACCACCTCCTCCTCCCCTGTCATCAGCTTACAGTAGTACCATGGAATTCCATAGCACCTTATTGGCCCTCCACCCCATGCCGAAGCTGCAGGCGGCGTGCGCATACCTGAACCCCCGAAGCCTCGGCACCTAGGCTTAGTTCCCACCAACCCACGCCACATGGCGGGATCCGCAGGTGTGAGCCCCAAAGACCGCCCCGACAGGCTCCCCAGAACCGGCGATCGCGTCAAGATCGGACGGCCCCGCACAACCAACGTGCAAGCCCGCGCCTGTAAATTTTCCCATTGCTCTATTGCATCTATGCCCCTGAACCTTGCCACCAGAGATCTCAGTTCCGACCTGGGACTCCACCCCCATTTTCCAAAAATTCTTGGCACACCCGTTTTGCACTTCCAGGCCCACACCCTACTCCGATCAGGAAGTCGTGTCGGGCGTAAGGTTGGGCGTTACACGATGCTCCCATCAATGGACATTTTGGAGTCAATCGTACGATTGGCCGACTCCGCGAGCGCTTTTGGTGGCCTGGTCTTCTCGACGACGTCACACGCTATTGTGAGTCATGCGAGGTTTGCCGACGTTGCAAATCCCGCAATCATCGTCCGTACGATGAGTTACGACCATTACCGGTCCCCTTGCGCCAAAAGGAAGTGATTGCCATTGACATTACCGGGCTGTTCCCCAAGCACAAGACTGGTGTGGATGGGATTCTCACAGTGGTCGACCGACTCACCAAGTTTGCCATGTTTTTGCCTTGCCGCTATCATCCCAAGGCACTGGAGTTGGCCGAGGTTCTTTACGCCGGTTGGATTCGAACGAAGGGTTACCCCAAGGAACTCGTCTGCGATCGAGACACTCGGTTCATGTCCGATTTTTGGTTGGCACTCATCAAATGATGGGGCTCATCTCTCAAGCCTAGTTCGGCCCACCACCCCCAAACCGATGGCTAAATGGAGAGGGCGCATCAGACTGCACAGGTTCTTCTTCGCACTCTCATCCGTCCGGACCAACAGCGGCTGCCGGATGTCGAGTTGGCATACAACTCGTCCATCTATCCGGCTATCGGAATGTCGCCTTTTGAGTACGAGCATGGCTCGCCGGTCAATTCTCTGTTGGACACAATCATCCCACGGGCGGCCGAGAGCGGCGACCATCTTCTCTTCATTCATCGGATGCAAGAGCTTCTTGTCAAGGCACGCGACCAGATGTCGAAGACACAGCAACATATGTGCCAACAGGCGAACCGCCAGCGTTTTCCTTGTCCATTCTGCGCCGGCGACCTTGTATGGGTTTCCGCCGCGGAATTCAGCCCCGAACAAGACATCTCTTGCAAGCTCCTTCCGAAATGGATGGGGCCCTGGCCGATCGTGGCACCCGCTGGGGACGCACCCGAAGGACCTTCCTCTGTCATTCAGGTGCCCGCCCACTTGCCCGTCAACCCGGTCTTTCACTGCTCCAAGTTGGCTCTCTACACGCCAGCAGAACATGACGACTTTCCCGGACGATGATCGCAAGACCCACCCTCTATGGACGGTTTTCAAGAGGTTGGCGACATCATATCCCAGTGACGTTACGGCAACAGGCTGACTGAATTCTTGGTCCATTTCGCATACTGCACCCATCGAGCTGACCGTTGGTTGACCCATGTGGAACTACAGGCAACAGCCCCCGATGTTCTCGCACGCTACGAATGCAAGTTGCAAGGCAAGCCGGCATCTTCGGCTCCACGTTGCACCTGCGCCCAGGTTCCACCTTCAGATCGTCAGCTTCGCCCTCGACCCGGCTCGACTTCATAAGGAGGGGGGGTTGTTACATGCTGCACCTGCACAAGGGCCCTGTTTTGAGGGGCCCGGCGGTTGCTAAGGGGCCCCAGGCCACGCGCCAGCCAGCGCGCACCCTGGAGGCCCACAACGGCCTCTTTGGCCACAGGAACCGGTAGGGTCCGTCCGAACGTCGTTTCGGACTGCAGGTCCAGACGTTGTTTCGGACTGCAGGTCCCAAGGCAACGCCTTGGACCAGGTACATAGGGACCGGGCCTTTTTAAAGGCCAGGCGTTTTTTGGCGCCTCGCTGCATCAGCAGCGCAGTCTGGGCACCCGGTGGGGACCCAGACTCCGTAGACCGTTTTGAGGCCGCACCTGAGTCCGCCCGGTCGGCCCAGTGCTACATATAGCTGGGCTGAGGCCGGACTCAAGAAGAGTCCGGTCGCTCACTTCTGGAGCGACACGCTGCTGGATAGAGGCTGCGCCATTCTAGCGCTGCGCTACTAGACCAGGAAGGAGACGTGCACAGGAGAGGAGAGTGATAGAGGCCTACCTACAGCGGCGGACTTACCTGGCGCCATAGCTGAGCTCCGCGCGGTACCTGCACAAGGCAACGACACAGTCAGCACAGCGGTAGCACCTGTAGGTGAGATGGCGAGGAGGACAGCATCTTCTTCTCCCTCCTCGTCCTCCATCTCATCTCTCTCTCTCCTTCTTCCTCCTTCCTCTTCTTCTTCTTCTTCAGATACGAGAGTGAGATAGGTTATCAGCAGAGGATATCGGCAGAGGTTACCAAGGGCATGTTGCCCAGATCGGATTCGACATTTCTGAGCCAGACATTGATTGGACATCAGCAAGGGACTGTTTTGGACTTCGCTATTGCAATCTTGGACTTCTCCCTCGCCTCCACCTTCGTCTTCCCTCTCCCTCCATCCCTCGTCTATGGTATCGCCGCATGTGCGTGTACAACGAGGGACCTTTCTTCTTGGTGCGGTCCCTCCTCTTCCTCTCACACGTGTGATGTGTGATGGGATGTCGTGTCAGTCCAGGTCAGGTCAGGACTTACCTTGAAGTCTTCCGCTGCGCTATCGAGTGCCATTTCATATGTATCAGGATGTACATTGCCTGTTGATGTTTCACTAACATTGCATTGTCCATTCAGTCCTTTTCATCAGATTGCGGATCCTTGGCTCTACATACATTGCCCAACTGGGCATGTATCACAGAGAGAGAGAGAGAGAGAGAGAGAGAGAGAGAGAGAGAGAGAGAGAGAGAGAGAGAGAGAGAGAGAGAGAGAGAGAGAGAATGGGACGAGTGGCACGGTCCTGTTCGACCAGGCGCGGTCGTTTTCCAACACGAACCAAGTCCCACCAGAAACCAAAAACGGGAGGGCCTTGCATCTAAACATGGATTCACCTCTCATTGGAGTACCTGCACGATTGAATTATTCAGCAAACAGCTGATACCACAGTCTCATGCCACACTGTGATGCCTTTTTGACATATGTATGCACAGAGAAAGACGGTGTTTGACAAAAGTGGCATGATAGCTGTCTTTCAGGAGGCTTCGTCCTGCCAACTCTCAATACCTGGCACTCATTCAGGAAGTGGGGCGGTCACAGACTAGAAATGGATGCTGACTACAGCAATTATCTTGGGGAGTAAGATGGCCAGACAACAGAGGGCAAAAGTGGAGGGAACAATGACTTGAGCACAACAGCTTTTTTTTTTTTTTTGAAACATTTGCTGGGGGCGCTACCCGAGGTGGTAAGAGCATCCCCAGGTAGCCCCCCCCCCGGATGGCTCCTTTTTATTGGTGGGGAGCTGCACCTGTGGGAAAATGGGTCCAGCTTCTAATATTGACTGACACACAGATCGCGGCCATTACCCAGCTTTGGCTTGTAAAATGAAAAACACTGAGAAGTTGGGTGAACTGGGTCACCGTAAAGGAGGAGGATTGACTCGGGTACTCCAGGGGGCAGCAAAGTACAAGTCGTTCCATGATACCAGATCAACCGCCTGGAGACATTGACTCATCCATTTGTATATGGCCCGACCAGATTGGAGAGCTTGGCAATGATAATTGATGATATGTGGAATGCCAATCTCACTACTGCAGGTGTATAACAGCAGGCAAAAGGAAAGAGAGGTGATCAGCTGTTTGGCTGAGGCAAGGCGGATGAACAAAGTGGTCATGGAGAAGGAGACCACTGTCCGAATGAGCAAAGAAAGAGAGGAGGCAATGGCTTCTCCACCTCCCCCAAAACAGTCAATCTATCTCCCGGCTGGTCTCTATCTGCTTGACCTGCACCTTGGAGTGGAAGCAGAGACCACTCTCTGCGGAAATGTTGCCTCTTCCCTTGATGACAGGGCCTTTGAAGACAAGCTGTCAGATGTGGATAAGCTGGTTTTCGTTGGACGTGCTTGCAACCTCTGCAATGATCTTGAGCGTGCTGAATCAACTCTGCTGGAGGCAATCAATATAGATAAGAGAGATCACAGGGCCTACATCTGCCTTGGCCATGTGTACCACCAGCACAAGCAGTTTGAGAAGGCCGTCAAAACCTATGAAACGGTAATGGCTTTTCTTTTTGTTTAAATGGTGACGTTGTTCTGTCAAAGATGTTCCATGTTCCCTTTTTTTTTTTTTTTTTTTTTTTTTTCTTCTTCTTCTTCTTCTTAACGGGACCTTATGGCTCCGGCACCTTGTCCATTCTGGGGAGCATCAGTCTGGTTCCTATTCCACCAGCAGGTCAGAAAGGATTACATTGTTTACTCACTCACGCTCCTCCCCCTTGTGGTGTGGAGGTCCGAAGGACGGCATTGATTACTTCCCTTGAGCAGCTCCAGTAAACCAATGGTTGGCCAACAGACGCAATCGCGAAAACAAAACGGAACAGGATTCATGGTGCAAGGTATGCAACCTCCATACCCCTGAATCCCTGAACCATTGCTTTATGGACTGCCTAAAGGTCAGATCCCTCTGGCAAACTCTGGAAACATCATGGGATAAAATCTCAGACTCTCCCCTTCTAATCAACCCCGCCACACTATTCCTCGACCGAAGACAATCACCCCCGCGCAAAGGCTTTGAAGCCTTCCTGTCCTCACAAATCAAGAAAAGCACCCTATGGGCTATTTGGAAAAACAGATGTGACTTCACCTTCAATGATCGACTCACCGCCCCAGAGAACCCACTCATTATCATCAAACAGCTAATAGACACCGAAACCCATGCCCTCTGGAAAAAACAACTTAACAAGCTCCCCACTGACCCCGGCAAGAAAAACGAAATAACCAAAAAGTTCTCAACCTCCAAGCTAGGTAATGGGATACAAGGCACCATCAACAATGACAGACTAACATTAAAAAGTTGGCTAATCATAATACAGACACAAAGCACCTCAATAACTCCCCTAACCCACATACAACCACCCCCAAGCCAGCCACCCACCACCAATCCACTATCGTGCCACTAAAGACCCCTCCCCCCCCAACATCCCCACACCTACAACCTGCCACCTCCCCCCCCTACCCCCAAGCAACAGTCTCCATACCACCTCTATCCCCTATTACCCCTCCTCCCTTCCCCCCCCATCCTCCTTACACAACCCAATACACCAAGATTATCCAAAACCCCCTCAATCCAGCCTCCCCCCCAACCTCAACACCGGCCCTAGCAAGAATACCCTTACTGATTCCAGACAGACCCCTCACCAAGCATACCTAGAACTCAGGCCTGCCTCAGAAGCCCCATCCTTAGCACGGAAACGATCAATAGAGTCAGACTTCAGACAGAGAAATATCAAACTAGGGCTTAGGGTTTAAGCACCAAATACAGTTCAATACCAGGAACCCAGTAGAATAGGCTAACTTAGGCAGGGGTGAAAGATGTTCCATGTTCCTGATTTTTGTGACAAGAAAAAAATGGCGAAGCTACCTTCCAAGACTCAGCAGCCGACAACTAAAGAGGTGCTTAGCTTTTTTTTTTTTTTTTTTTTTTTTTTTT